TCCTCCTCCACTTGTTTCTAAAATTCATTCTTCTGTTTTAGAGAATGCAAGCTCATCCCAGGTACCTTTCACGTTGGGAGTTTCATTCCCTTGTATCAGCTTCATGTACACAAAAAAAAAAACCCGTGGCAGGTGGTCTCTGGAGTTTAGCTTCTCATGCTCAGCAGAATGCTTTCAGGGTTCATCAACATCATGTTGTGATCAGGACCCCAATCCCTCTTGCTGGCTGAGTAATATTCCATTGGGCTGGAACGCAGGCTTTCCTTGCCATTGGACTTAGCATGGAGCAGACCTGCTTCCCCTCACTCCTGACACAGGAGGAGCTCACCTATTTGCTCTGCTTAGGAAATCACAAATTTTGAGAGTAGAAGAGAACTATGATCACAGCCATCTCCTAGGTGTTTATCGTATGGCTGATGCTTAGCCAGGAGCTTCTGGGACAGGAGGTTTGTCCTCTACCAAAGGCCAGCCTACCCCTCGCCCAGCCTCAGCTTCCACATCCCTGCACGGGTACATCTGTCATACTTCCCTTAAATCTGATGATGAAGGTGCGGTAGCGGATACTTGTGATCCAAGCCCTTTGGGAGGCTGAGGCAGAGCAACTTAGTGAGATCTTGTCTACAAAAAAAAAAAAAAAAAAAAACCCTTCAGCGTGGAGCTCAGAGCAAAGCCCTGGAGATCAGTTGCCAGCCCTGGGACAATGCAAATCTGCTGACGCCTGTGATTAGCCTGGTGTGGGTGGGAAAACAGTGCCCGCAGCCCTGTGGCCGTGGCCTCACCTAGCTGCTCTCCTTGATCAGGGTGGCCTCATCCTTGCCAGTTACCTTGGCTGTGTCAGGAGAGGGAGCTAGGGGCCTGGCTGGGCTTGCGAGTCTGGGCCGAGCTTGGCTGCTGGGCGGCTTCCAGCCCACATCATTTATGTTCATCCAAACCTTTGTGATTGGATTCTGCATCCCCACATTGCTGGGTGAGTGTGTGTGTGTGTGTGTGTGTGTGTGTGTGTGTGCATGCGTGCACGCGCGCAAGCGTATGTACACGTGCACATGAGCACACAGGCAGGGTGTATCTGCTATCGAGCTGCAAACTAAATTCAAATGCAAATCCTTTTTATTCCTCTCCCAGTGTTACAAATCAGGTGGCCAGGGTGATGTCCCAGTGGTCTGTTTTGGGTCCCACCCTGCCCAGCAGCCTGTGCCCCTCAGCCTGGTTGTGTTCCCCGAAGGCAGTGCAGGAAGTGGGCAGGCAGGGTAAGAGGCCTTGGAGCGGTGCGGAGGCGGTCACTTATTAGTTCTTATAGTTGAAGGGTCAGACTCCAAGTCAAGTTCACTTAATCCAGCCCAACAAGCTGTGGCTATGGCCTGTGCCCAGCCGAAGGATGTGACTTGGCGGACGTTTTGTTTAGCAGAAAAAGAAGCTCCTAGATCTCAGGCCCGGATGAGTCAGACGCTGGACCTCCACTTCTGGATGCAAGATTCCATGGGGGTGGGGTGGGCGCACGGCCAAAGCCCTCATCTGCATATAAACTCCAGGGAAGCTCTCTGATAGGCCTTGCATGGATCAGTCCCTGTGGCCAGCCGCCAAAAACGTTGTGATTGGCCAGTCTAGGTCACATGGCTACCACGTGCCAAGAGCATGGAGGGCTCCGATTGGGTAGCCATCAAAATGCCTGTCAATAGGGGCACAGATCCCGAAGGGGGGGGAAAAAAAAAAGTCCCATTTTCCAGAAAGGAGGAAGAAGTGGTGAGCTGGCGACTGGAAGCAGCGTCCTGCATCCTGGGGGAGTCCCAGAGCAAAAACACTGTCCTGAATGACTGCAGTACCCCTCAGTTCTTAAAAGCGACGGGGGCTTCAGTCTCTGTAGCCTCTCTGTCCCTCATCTCTGCAGAAAGCTCAGCGATCCCGCAGGGGTCAGGAACCAGCCGCAGAGGTGGGGCTCTTGCTCCTCCCTCCCAGCCTCCTCTGAGGTCCCCACACTCAGCCAGCCAGAAGAGCCGCGCTGGGAGCCTCAGGAAATGCCAGGGGGAAGTGGGAGAGTCCCTGCCACCCGGGCTTCCCAGCAGGCAGGCTCTAACAGAAAGCAAGGTAAAGTGACAAGATTTGGAGAGGAACTTCCGGGGAAATTTTGATCTGTCTACTGGTGTCGCCACCACCCATGTGGCACAGGAACGCAGCGGCCTTCTCTTGTCCTCCCTACCCGCCTCCCTGAAGGAGCTTGAGACCAGCAACACCTCCATCCCCATCACTGCGGCTGCGCAGAACTTCACAGCCACTTCCAGGGATTCAAATTCTTGGCCGCTGATCAGAGGCCGGCTGAGCTCCTGGCTGGGCCCTTGGCCTCACTGGTGCACTTTGGCAGATGGTGAGGAAAAGATTGGGACCCGGAGCCACGTGTGGTGCTGTGGCGGAGAATTCCCTGCAAATCCCTCTTGTTTTCAGCTTGGAGGAATAATAGGGAAGAATCAGCTCCTTGCCCACACCCTTTCTCCTGGGCTCCACTGCGGAACTCTCTCCTTCATTTAGAAGATCAGGGGGTGGGGAGATGGCTCCGTGGAATAAGCGCTTCCTTGGCGAGCGCAAGGGCCTGAGTTCAATCCCTGGTTCTGCCAAAAAAAAAAAAAAAAAAGAAGAAGAAGAAGATCAAGCGCAGTGGAGCAGGGCGGGATGGACACTCACAGGCCTTAGATACCGGGGTCCCTCCCAGGCGGGGTCTATGCATAGTGCTGGGTGGTGCGGCCTCCAGACGACTAGGGGACTTGTTTGTTTTTATTGTTTTGGCTAGCGCAGCCTGCCCTGGGGGTGGGGTGGGGCTGGTGCAGCATGTGTTTGTGTTGTTGGGGATCAAACCGTGGTCCCCGCCCATGCCTAAACAAGTGCTTTAGACTGCTGAGCTATCTCGCTGGTCCTGTTTTTATTTTTTGAGGCAGGGACTCACCATGCATTTCAGGCTGGCCTTGAACTCACTGTGTAGCCTAGGCTGGTCTCGAATTCATGTGGTCTTCCTGCCTCAGCCTCCCAAGTGCTGGGACTATGGGTGTGCACCGTCATGCTCAGCCCAGTGTGCTGGTATCTTATGGCTGTTGTAAAATAAAATACCTATAACATTAGTGGTTTAAAAACAACACAGATAGCTGGACCCAGTATTGTGTGCCTGTATTCCCAGTTACTTAGGAGGCTGAGGCAGGAGGATTGCAAATTCATTGTCAACCTGGTCAATTTATTGAGTAAAAAAAAAGGTAGAGGAGGGCTGGTGAGATGGCTCAGTGGTCTAAAGCACCTACTTACAACAAGCTTAGCAAAGCAAAGGGACCACGGTTCTATCCCCCAGCGCCACATGCCAGCCAGCCCCGCCCCCTGGTGGGCTGAGCTGGCCACACACACACACACACACACACACACACACACACACACAAATAAATAAAAAAATTTAAAAAAGAAAAAAAAAAAAGGTAGAGGAGGCCAGGAGTATAACCCAAGGGTCAAGCACTAGCCGAGCATTCTGAGGCCCTAGGTCCCATCCCCAGAGCCACAACGAGACACACAATATTAGCTCTGGTTCTGGAGCGCAGATGTCTGAAATGGCAGAGACTCAAGGGAAGAAGAATTTGTTTCCCCTGCTTTCTGGCTGCCAGGGCCACTCGCATTCCTGGCTTGTGACTCTGTCCTAAGGTTGCTCTTCGTTCTACACTGGTTTTATGTGTTTCCTGTAGCTCTACCCCACCAATAGGGCCCCATGGTGGCCCTGGGCTCACCCGCCAGACAATCCAGGACATTCTGCCCCTTCTCAAGGTCCTTATTTAGCTAGGTGTAATGACACACACCTGTCATCTCAGCACTCAGGAGGCTGAGGCAGGAGGATCCCTGTGAGTTTGAAGCTAGCCTGGACTACATAGTGAGTTGAAGGCCAGTCTGGACTACAAATTGAGACCCTTTCTCAAAAAACAAACAAAACTAGATCCTTTCTAATTCCTGTGTGCAATGGCCCCTTTGCTTGGTGAGGTGACACATTTGTTGGTTCTTGGGGTGAGTGGACTCCTTGAGGCAGGAAAAGCAAGTTCCTGCCACTGTCAGCCCAGCTGTGGCTCCGGAGTGGGTCACAGGGCTTGGGCCCACACCCTCCAAGATGGACACAGATCCATAGTATGCCACACAGGTGGGGGTCCTGCCAGGTGCCGGCCTTGCAGAGTCCCCCTTCCCCCACTGTGCACCCTTTTATGCAGTGCTAGCCAGGTGCCTTCTCTTGAGCTACAGCCCCAGCCACTGTCTGCCTGATCTCTCTCTCTCTCTCTCTCTCTCTCTCTCTCTCTCTCTCTCTGCTACAAGGGATTGAACTCAGGATGGGGTCTCGCTAAGTCGTTAACTTGCCCAGGCTGGGCTCCAACGGGGCGATTCTCCTGCCTCGGCCTCTCGGAGTGCGGGATGGAGCCTAGGTGTACACCACCACACCTGCCTGTGGCGGCTCGGTTGGTCCTCGCGGAGCAGGGGCCCTGCCGAGGCCCAGGGTGGGCGGGGAGTGGGCGGGCACTCGGGCGTCTCCTCCTCTCTGCCCGCCTCCACCCCCAGCTCCGCAGGCTAAGAGCTGGCCCGCTGCTCCGCGAGGATCAAGGCGCACTCCCGCCGCCGTCCAGGAGCAGCTCTCTCTCCGCGATGCCTCCCTCCGCCCTGGTCCTGGCGACGGTGAACAGCCCAGCGCTCCCGGCCTTCCTGCTGTGCAGCACGCTACTGGTCATCAAGATGTACGCGGTGGCCGTCATCACCGGCCAACTGAGGCTGCGGAAGAAGGTACGTGCCGTCCTTGCCCGGCCTGGAGCTCAGGGCTTCTCCTCCCTCAGCCCTGGGAGTCGAGGAGCGGGGACCTGGCTGGGGTCCCCGTGAGCTGGTCTGGGGTCGTGCGAGTGGCGCAGGGACCTCGATGGCTCTGGGCTTAAGCACGGCCGTCCACGTGAGCGCTCGGACTGGTCCTGAAAGGTGGAGCTTGGGGACCCGCTTGCCCAAAGCCTCCCTCCGATCTGGCTGCTTCGCGGCCACCAGCGCTGATATCTGGGCGGAGTGGGAACCAGCCTAACAGGAGTGGAGAAACTAAGTGGAAATTCCCACTGTCAACCGAGGTGCCTGTCACCGAGGTGTCGGGTGAATCGGGGTGCTAGGAGGAAGCCACCCCCAACTCCCGCAGCGACCGTAAAGAGGCTTCGACTGCATGAGGGTGGGGGGAGGTGGGCTGAGGACCAGCGAGCCAGGTCTGCAGGCGCCCTCGCCCCAGCGATGGGGAGTCCATTGCGGAAAGGCTCACCTTTCTCTGCCTGTGCCCCTTCCCGAGGCTGGGTGAGGTCGCCTCTGCCCTTCAAGGTGGCCCTGGGGTGGGGATCTTAAGGCAAGATCCTTAAGGACCAGCCCTGCCCTGCCACTTACTGCCTGGAGGACTTCCGGCTGCTGGCCATCTGGGCGGGCTCTAGGATGCAGCCGCTGCTGGAGTCCCTGTCTGGGACTGGGAGCTGAGCAGGGTGTCCACAGGGCAGCCCTGGGACAAAGCTGGAGCCCTCACCTCACTAGGCGAGCTCACCTGGGGAGGGCCCCAGCCAGGTGTGAAGTCGGGGATTGCCTGTAGTGCCTACACCTGCCTCGGGTGCCCAGGTGCTAAGCCACAAGACAGTTCCTTTGGATTTGGATTTAGGCAAAGAAGCGACCTACCTGCCAGACTTCGTTTTTTTTTTTTTATATAGTCTCAATGCTGATTGTTAACTCACAGTGATCCTCCTGACTCAGTCTCAAGTACTGGGATGATCAGCGTTTGCCACTATGCCTGGCTCTGAATTAATTGATTCTTTCTTTTTTTTTCTTTTGGAGGCACTGGGGATTGAACCCAAGGATTAAACTATATTTGCAGCCCACTGTATTAAGCTATCTCTGCCTTCCTTTTACTCACTATTTTTACTTTTTATTTTGAGGCAGGATCTTGCTAGGTTGCTAAATTGCTCAGGCTGGGCTAGAATTTACAATCCTCCTGTCTCAGCCTCCCAGAGTGCGGAGACTGATTGTAGGTGTGTGACACAATACCCAGTGCAAAGTGAAATTCTTGACCCCTGATGGTCCTGTGACTTCGTTCTGGGCCCCTGTCCCTTGCTCCAGAATCTGCAGCCCCGCTGGTTTCTGGTTCTTTAAAGCCATGAAGCTGCTTCTGGCCGCAGGGCCTTTGTACCTGCTGTTCCCACAGCCTCTGCGCTGCTGCTCCGGTTCCTCACTTCTCCTGACTAAGGTGGGCGCATCTTCCTCACTTCACCTTTAATGCTGGATTCTAGGGGTACACAAACACCCAGCTTCTGTCTTCTCTTTCTGCCGGGGGAGCCCCTGTCCCCCTGGTCCCAGGCAGATCACCCTTGAGATTGAGAGCCGGACAGGTGCTGGGTGATGTGCACACCCCTATAATCACGGATCAGTCACCCAGAGACCTCAACTCAGGAACTGTGGGGGGCAGGGCCAGCTGCACCTCTCCCATAACAAGCGGCTCTCATGTATTTCAGGCTTTCGCCAACCCCGAAGACGCCCTGCGACACGGTGGTCCCCAGTTCTGCCGGAGCGACCCAGATGTGGAGCGGTGTCTCAGGCAAGTATGGGCGGGCCAGGGCCGGGACGTGCCCCTGACCTGGCCGAGGCCCGTCCTGCAGGTCTTCCGCATCTGGACAGCGAGGCTCTCTGCGCTCCATGTTCCCTGAGGCTCAGGCCCTTGTGCTTGCCAGGCAAGCACTTATTCCACTGAGCTGTCTCCCCAGCCCCTGTTCTTGGTATTTTTGCGACAGTCTTCAGGCTGGCCTCAGAGTCACTCTGCAGCCCAGGCTGGCCTTGACTTCACAGCGATCCTCTTGCCTCAGCCTCCCTTACACTGGTCTGATGGTGTGTGCAGCTGTGCCCAGCTTGGCTAGTTTTTAATCTTGGAAATGTAATTCTCGTTTGGACGGAGAACTGAGGAGCCGGCTCGCTCCCCCTTGTCACGGCAATCCTTAGCCCTCCGTGGTGCTGTGGAGTCCCCTTTTCCTCTGCCCCAAATCACAGAGTGGCCCAGGTCTGTAGCATTTGTGCAGGGGCCCACAGCAGCCTCGCTGGGTTCCTCTGCTGGGCCCTTGCTGTCTCTGGCTTCCTGCTGTGAGTGGAACCCCTCACACCTGTCACCATGTGTGCGAGGCAGCACACCGAAGGTGGCCACGGGGTCAGAAGCATGCTGCTGCCCTGTGCCCAGCTGTGCCCAGCTGTGTGCGACCTTCTGCTCCTGCCCGGTGCAGTGGGTGCTCACACACGGGGTGGATTCCTGCCCGTGCCGGAGAGAGCAGTCACAGTCCTTTCTCCCTTTCTCCTTCCCTTTTTTTTTTTTTTTTTCCAGTACTGAGCATTAAACCCAGGGCCCTAGCCAGGCGTGGGGGCGCATGTCTGTCAACCCAGCCATGAGGAGGCTGAGGCAGGAGGATTCCTGTGTGAGGCCAGCTTGGGTTACGTAAACCAGTTCAAAGCTGGCCTGAACTACATACTAAGACCTTGTCTCAAAAAATCCAACCAGGGGCTGGTGAGATGGCTCAGTGGTCTAAAGCACCTATTTAGAACAAGCTTAGCAAAGCACAGGGACCGGTGGTTCAATCCCCCAGCACCACATGCCAGCCAGCCCCGCCCCCTGGTGGGCTGAGCTGGCCACACACACACATAAATAAATAAAATTAAAAAAAAAAAATCCAACCAACCAAACAAACTTCATAACCCAGCGTCTTCACTCAGAGCTCTACCTCCAGCCTTTTATTATTTTTTATTTTGAGATAGATCATGCTAAAGGCCAGGTTGCCCAGATTGGGCTTGCGCTTGCCATCTTCCTGCCTCAGCCTCCCAGAGGACTGGGATTACAGGCCTGTACCACCTTGCTCAGCTTCATATTTTGCTTTTACTTTGCATTTCTTGAGTGAGATGGAACATCTCCTCAAGTGCATACCATGCCCCAGGCAGTTAAAAACTCTTTCTTATTATAAAAGTCAGAACTAGTCATGGCAGACAATTTGGGTCATGCCAAAAGCGGAGGCAGAGAGGAAAACCACACTCGTTCCAGCCACTGCTGGCATTTTCCTCTCGTCTTTGTCTTCTATGTCAACATAAACCTGATCAGGTTAGGCATGCCTGACATGACCCGAGGTGGGGTTCTTTTTCACTGATGTTTTTCAGTGAACCTAATTTCATGAGAACTTTCCACAGGATAAATATTACTCAAAAAACAAACAATTCTTGGGTAGGAATGTGGGGTAGAGTGCTTGCCTAGTAGGTTCAAGACCTGGGTTCTGTCCTCAACACAAGATGAGATTCCTTAAAAATGACTGTGAAACATGGGTGTGGTGGCACCTATCTGTAGCCCCAGCACTTGGGAGGCTGAGGCAGGAAGACTGCCACAAGTTTGAGGACAGCCTGGGCTCCACAGTGAGTTCAAGACCAGGCTGAACTACCTAGCAGGACACTCCCTGAAAAAAACCCTGAACACAGTGACTGTGTGAGTTGGGTGGGGTGGTGCCTGCCTGGAAACAGCCCCCTGGGAGGCTGAGGCAGGAAGATAGAAAGTTCGAGTGAGCCCAGCCTGGGAAGCTCAGGGACTTAGCAAGAACCTGCCTGAAGAATTAAAAAATGTTAGGGCCAGGGATATAGCTCAGCAGCATAAGCGCCTGCCTGGCAAGCGTAAGGTCCTGAGTTCTATCCCTGGTACCAGGAAAAAAAAAAAAAAAAAATTAAAAAATGTAAGAACGGGCTGGGGATGTAACTCAGTACAAAGGTCCTGGATTCAGTACCAGGTGACACACCTGCACACATGCGCACACCTGCTGTGCTATCCATCAGAAAGCGATCATTTCAATTAGCAGGGTCAATATTAGAATGGTGGTAGTTGCTATTTGGCCTTCTCTCTCTGTCTCTGTCTCTCTCTCTCTCTCTCTCTCTCTCTCTCTCTCTCTCTCTCTCTCTCCTTTTGGTGGAACTGGGGATTGAACTCAGGCCCTTGTGCTTGTCAAGCAAGTGCTTATTCTACTGAGCCATCTCCCTGGCCCCATCTCTCTCTCTTTCTTGAGATAAGGTCTCCTTATGCAGCCCAGGCCGGCCTCAATCCCATCCTCCTGCCTCAGCCTCCTGAAGGGTGCATCACCAGGGCCATTCTGCCCTATTCCCCAGGGGCAAAGTTGAGGCCAGCCAAGGAGCATAAGGGGGAGGCTGGGGCAGCGCTCACAGAGCTCTTGGCTGTGTCCCCGGGCCGCGATCACCTTGATAGTAGCAATTCTCTTGGTGGGGTGGGGGAAGTCCCTTGTGCTCGGCAGAGCCATCGGCAGTGCTGCGCATGCTGCAGTCGGGCGACACTGACAGCGCATCCTGAGAGTGGGCTCCCTTGTTCTCAGGCTGGTCGGCGTTTAGCCGAGGTTGTCCAGCAGCCTCCCAGCCCCCAGCCCTTCAGGAGCACCTGCGAGGTGTAGACACTGCGCTAACAACCAGCCGTACTTGGTAATTTTTTTTTTTTTCCTGTTTTGTTTTTTGTCCTTTTGAGACAGGGCCTCACTATGCAGCTCCGGCTGCCCTTGAGCTCACTGTGCAGCCCGGCTGGTCTTGAACTTGCAGCGATCCTCCTGCCGCAGCCTCCCA